TTTGTCATGGTATTTTTCTGTGTAAGTGTGCACAAGTCCTGTTTACCTTGAACAGAAGTGGTCAAAACTGCACCCAGACAACACCTGTCTGCAGAAACCTCACCTGAGATGCCCCTGCTATCCTAACAAACACAACAACTGCTTCAGTGTCTCTTCCTCTTGGTTTTCAGCTCCTTTAAGACACTCCATCACCTTCTCCAGCCCCTCATCTCCCTACCTGGGAGACCCCTAGTTATGCATTCCAAGAACACTCCGGTCATACAGTATTGTCAGCACCAGAAATATCTGGGAAACTCCTCAGAGTTAACTTGCCTGGATATTGAGGAGAGGCTAATGTCATATGTGCTGTAGAGGTTTGTTCCACAATTCCCTAACACAGCTCCATCCTTTCTCCGCAGGGAGCACCAAATTGTGTTATAACACTTGGGCTATAGCTGTGTTATGTGGGCAGCAGGTAGAAGAGGCAAGGGGAGGTGATGCCTTCCCTGGGTCTTAGTGCTCTACCTGTCCCCTCTTCTTAGCTCTAGTCTGACTATTCCAGAAGGCTCCCACGGCAGCTCTTGCTGCTTTCAGACTGGTGACTCTTCCCCTGAAGTGGATCTGTTAACTTAAAAGTAAAAAGCCTTCTAGCTTGCCACATCTATTAACATAACACTGGGCCTGTGAAAGATCCATTAATTGGTAAGTAAACCATTTAACAGGCAGGTGCCAACCCTGAATTGACTGACACAAATAACTGTGCATTACTATGTCCACAGGACCTTAATTTTAAATTTGCTTTAAATATTTCACTAGTTTGTTGCTGAAGATTATAAATTCACATCTCAAAAAAGTCTTTGAATAGACATTTAGATGCACAATCTGAGTATTCAGCTTTAGCTTTAAGTGCTCGGCTCTACCGACATAGTTATTTTTATAAATTCTTCAAAAGAAAATATCTATCTAAAACACACTTCTTAATTAAAGCTGGATAAATGAGGTTCTGTTTTACTTCTGACTATCTGAACCAGTTTGAAGAGAACCCTCCACCAAAATCAGTACCTTACTAAAATATAACAGCCTTTGTTATCCCTAACATTTTTTGAAAACATGTTTTTAACATAAACAAATAGTGAAATTTCATAAACATGTTTTGTTATGAAAATCACACAAAATAAATTGTGTTCCCCTTTTCTAAAAGCAATGAACTTTGTTATGAACACACTAAACCACTCTGACTGATTAATTAAAATAATGTCTTTGTGTCAACGAGTTTAAATACGTAGTAATCTGGAATGACTACTTTATAATGATTTAAGAGTATATTTAAAATATAAAATCAGCTTAGATATACTGATGAAGAAAATGTAAACTAGAGAAGGGCTGCATTATATATTCCACAGTATTTAAAGTTGTATTTAGCAGGACAACTGACTTGCCCTCACTACAAACTTTTTGCGAATAAATCTCTGACAAACTTCTGCACTGACATTTATTCCCAGATTAGTTACCTTCTGAATTTCCAGTCTTCACAATCTGGCATGCAATGGAAAACATGCTCCATTTTCTTTAGAAAGACATTTTAGAAGAGTGTTTTTTCTAAATATCATTTGTTACATTTGGGTTCAGGGATTTGGCTGGAATGGGTGAGCAGAGAAAAGGGAGACAATGAGGAGGGGAAAGGAGAAAGGAAGGACCTGAGAAGGGCAGGGTGGAGCAATAGGCTGGACCTTGCCTCCCCAAGTAGCAGCTTTACCCATAACCCTCACTCTCTAATGAGTATCCTCCAGTGGTGAGGCTACTCAGGTGGGTTGTAGGAGAGCCTGGTTCAAATCCCCCTGCTGTCTGTTCAGCTGGGATTTCCTGCCCCCTAGGTGATTGTCCTTTGTGGTGGGCTGTCCTTGCCTAAGTCTCTTTCTAGAGAGGCCATTGACTTCTTGGGATGGGAGGGGATTATTAGGACAGGGATTGCTCACCACTGACTCTCCCAGGAGGTGGGAGCTCAAAGGAGCGGGGAAGTGCCCTGAGGTCTGCCACAACCTGGACTTGTGTGCTGATCAGTGAGGAGGGGGAGGTTTTACTGCCCAGCAGCAATTCCTCTTTCATTAAAAAAAGCAAGAGGGGGCTGCAATGGTCTCTTGATCAGCTACAAAGGCTCTGTTTACACACACCAGAGACTCTCCTGTCTGGCAGAGCAGGGATTTGATAGGGGCACTCACACCGCAGGTGAGCAGCCTAACACCCTCTACGACAGAAAGTTTTGGAAGCTTATTGTGCCCTGGTTAATATATAGTTAAAGTGGAACATTTCACAGTAACAGCTCACTCTCATTTCTCAACAAGCGGAAAGAGAATTTGAACCAGCACCTGTTTGCCTCTGAGGCAGGCACCCAAAGCGCTGGAATACAGAAGGAGTCACAAGGCTCAGGTGGCCCAATTCTCATTTCCTATTTACTGAACATGGGCAGCAGTACACAGAAGAGGCCGAAGGAGCCCCCACCTCCCAGGCTAACACTCAGGCCATTTGAGAAATAAGGGATCAACGTGGAAATACCTTCTCAGGGAGCATAAAGGGGATTTGAACCCACACATGTTCTGGTCAATA